GCCTTGAGCATGGATTACACCTCAACACAAAAAAAAACAAAAATCCTCACAACTGGACCAATAAACAATACCATGATCAATAGAGAAAAAGGTTGAAGTTGTTAGGGATTTCATTTTACTTGGATCCACAGTCAAGGCCCATGGAAGTAGCAGTCAAGAAATCAAATGACATATTACTTTGGGCAAATCTGCTGCAAAACACCTCTTTAAAGTGTTTCAAAGCAAAGATGTCACGTTGAGGACTAAGGTGCACCTGACCCAATTCATGTATTTTCAATCACCTCATATGCATGAGAAAGCCAGACAGGGAATAAGGAAGACTAGAGAAGAATTGATGCCTTTGAATTACGGTGTTAGCAAAGAATATCGAATATACCATGGACCGCCAGAAGAACGACCAAATCCGTCTTGGAAGAAGTACAGCCAGAATGCTCCTTAGCAGTGAAGATGGTGGGACTCTGAGTCATGTTCTTTGGACATGTCATTAGGAGGGGCCAATCTCTGGAGGAGGCCATCATGTGCAGTGAAGCAGAGGGTCAAGAAGACGACGGTCAATGACATGGACTGACACAGTGGTTGCAACAATGGGCTCCAGTACAGCAACAATTGTGAGGCGAGTGTGGCACAGGACAGAACAGTGCTCTGTTCTGCTGGACATGTGGTCGCTGTGACTCGGAAACAACTCGACAGCACCTGACGACAACAGCAGGCATTTATCTGGAATCTCCTATATGAACTGGACCTCAGGGTAACAGACAGTTGATGAGAGAAGTTGCCTGTATAGAAGTATTCCAGAGAACTGATGAAGGAGTGACAGAATTCAAGTATCACCATTTTGCGATCCTCAATGGGTTACTGGAGTTAGGAGCTGATCATCCATGGCTGCTAACATCACAAAAGGAGACAACAGGACGTTCTGTGCCTCCTGAGGGCAAATACATCAACTACACAGAAAGAGTGGGCCTGCAGCTGACCGAGCTTCTGGAGCTAAATGCTGACATCTGGGCAGTGGAGGCCAGAGCAGCACGTGAAAGGCACCCCAAGGTACAGTGGATGGAATCCATACTGTGGGGAACACTAAGGATACACAACACGGTTTGTCTTTAGAACAGGTGCAAGGAAACACAAAAAGGAGATGGAGGGAAACCTATAGACCCTTAAGAATCACAAGGACCAATCACAGTACAGAAATCTTACCTGGATCCTAATTCAAACAAACTGAAAACAACACGAAACATTCGTGACAACTAGGGAAATGTGAGCAGTAACTGGCTATGTCATGATAGTAAGGAATGATTTTATTTATTTAGAGGTGAAAATGGCATTTGACTATGTTTTAGAGAAAGGAATCCTATCTTTTAGAGATGAATAGAAATATTTATAGATGATGTGATTTGATTTCTGGAGTTTGATTCAAAATAATCTAGGAGAGAAGAGTGACAGGGGCAGGGATTAAACAAGTAGTGATTAAACACTGGAGGGGGCTCAAGGGCCAAATGGGGAATGATCTGAGCCCAAAGTAACGACAGTGAAAGAACATCAGTCTAGAGCAAAGCCATGTCCATGAGCCCATGCTGGCGTAAGAGCCCAAGTAAGTTATTTATGGAGAAAAGGGAAAGCTGTTCCTTACAGAAAACTCCAATGAACAAACATAAAAGGAATGATGGGAACAGAGTCACCAAGAGCAGACACATGAGGAACACTGTTCCAGGCAGGAATCCACACGGGGCCTAAAAGGAGGCAGAACAGGGGCTATTTGCATGGTGTCAACGTCCTCTCATGCCAGACACTTCACCACAAATAGTGACGTTACCATGGAGAAACTGGCCACTCCACCCAGCTAGTGATTGCAGTTCCATCACCAGTAATGGGCCAGCATCACACCACATACCCCGACAGGATGCTCCCGGAGGGCCCGGCATCATTGCTGTGAGATTCCAGCCAAAAAACGTGTAACCTGAATTAAACTGTGGAAATATCAGGGGTTAAAATGAGGGCCATGCTAAAAAAGAACTGGCCAGTAACCAGCAGCCACCAGGTGCCACGGCCGACTCTGAAGCATGGTGACCCCGTGTGTCAGTGGAGAATGTGCTCCACGGGGTTCTCCAGGCTGATTGTCTAGAATTAGATTGCCAGGCCTTCCCTCCACCATGCCGCAGGGTGGACTTGAACTTCCAACCTTTCAGGTAACAGCTGGGCACTTAGCCACTGCCACCACCACTGGCTGGTGCTCTTCCAAACGATTCAGTAAGTGTCCCAGAGCGAAGGACTAAGGCAACATGACCACTGCCTGCAACGTGTCATCCTGGTCCAAGAAACGGGACATCAGTGGCATGATGAATGAAGTCTGGCCAGTTGATAGCATTGTACCAATGTCATTCCCTGACTGGGGTCACTGTTCTGTGATTCTGTGGAAGGGAACACCAGAGGAAGCTTGCTATAAGTCAGAAGCAACTTGATGGCAGTGGGTTTGTTTTTGGGGGATCTGGTGTGTGACGATTCTTTGTACTAGTTTTGCAACTTTTTCCAAGGTCTGAAACTACTTCAAAATGAAAAGTTAAAGCAATTTTAAGTGGTGATTAGTTGATAATTATGGTACTCAGGGATGGGTATCTGGGCATTCATAACGGTACTGTCTCAATCTTCACGGATTTAATATTAATCATTTATTTTATTTTTGATAAAAATATACAGAACCTGTCTCATTCCAGGTTCCAGACACGATGATCAGTGATTGGTAACATTCTTCACATTGGGTCCACATTCGTGGGCTTCGGTTCCAAGGGTTTCATGCCCATTGACTTACACTCTACCTCCCAGCCTTCTGTCCAAGGTTGAAAGCGATGTCCATTTGGTCTTACAGAGACACTTTGTAAAAGAACCTTTTGAGATAAACTTACTCAGTTTCAAAGGTCACATCAGGGGCTACTTTCGATTCCAGGTTTGAAGAGTACGTGAGGGCAATTTCACAGGTGGCTGAAGTTTTCTATGACAAAGGTTCAAAGGAGGCTGGACGGATGTGACAACCACATGCCAGGCACGGCCCTTGTTTGGATTTGGGTTGAACCCATCGACCATCAAGAACATTTCTGACACAGCCAGGGACACTTATGTATGGCCGGTATTAGATAATACTCAGGAATTACTGCAAATATTGTTTGGTGTTTTAAAGCAACGTAGTCATGTCCCAAAATGGCCGTATTTCTGAGACACATGCTACAATACGGGAGAGAAAATCAGAAGAAGTCAGACCTGCTTCAAAGAGCATCAGAGAAGAAAAGAAAGAGAGAAAAGTCCATGAAAAGAAAGGAAAGAGGCAGACGAAGGCAATGCAGCCACATCTCTTCTGTGGTGAGTGGGAGACCGCTCCAGGCCTTTACTGTAGCTGCCTTCCTTTGGGGCCCGTTGGGGGTTTTGACTGCCTCTGAAGCAAAGCAGTGGAAACCCAGGGGCTGGTCCATGAAGTCTGTGTTCATTCACGTTCCCCCACACAGCCGCCTGCCTCCAGTGTCCTTCAGTCACCCACCAATGTCCCTCACAGCCGTCCACTCGTGTCCCCCACAACCACTGTCAGTGTCCCCCATAGCCACCCACTGCTGTCCCCCACAGCCATCCACCTGCATCCCTCACAGCCACCCGCCACTGGCGTCCCCCACAGCCATCCACCTGTGTCCCCCACAGCTGCCCACCACTGGTGTCCCTCACAGCCATCCACCTGTGTCCCCCACAACCACCGTCAGTGTCCCCCACAGCTGCCCGCCACCGGTGTCCCTCACAGCCATCCACCAGTGTGCACCACAGCTGCCCATCAGTGTCTTCCACAGCCAGTGTCCCTCACAGCCCCCTGCCACTATGGGTGTCACTCATAGTCACCCACCAATGTTCCTCACAGTCATCCACTGTGTCCCCCACAGCTACCCATCAGTGTCCCCCACAGCCACCTGCCAGTGCCCCCCATAGCTGCCCACCAGTATTCCCCACAGCCTCCTGCCTATGACCCCCACAGCCGCCTATCGGTGTGCCTCACAACTGCCCACTGGTGTGCCCCACAGCTGCCCATCACCAGTGTCCCCCACTGTCACCTGCCTATGTCCCTGAGACACCCCAGACATGTATCCTCTGAAAATCTCAGGGAAATGTGTGCCAGGGCCCCACACTGCTGTTTTTCAAAGCCTCAGGAGGGACCAGTGCTCTGGACCAGAATGCACTGGGGCCATGCTGGTCCACCCACAGGGCTGTGGATGTGTGGTTTCCCTGGGGCCCATCCGAAAGGGAAAGCAGCACAGCTGTGGCCACTTGTAGGTACACGTCCATTCGTTCTTCAGCAACATTCTCAGAAAGCTGTGTGCTGAAGGGGACCAGCTCTGCCCTCGCCAGGCCAGGGCAGGATGCAGGCTGTCCCCAGAGCAGTCCTAGTGTAAAGCGGCAAGGGGAGTGCTGCTATTTCTGGCATATATTGTTTGAATCTTGCTGTTAGACTGTCCTTCTAGCAAAATCGTTTTAATATACTGATCAGCCAAACTCCCTGCCATCAAGTCAATTCCAACTCATAGCGACCCCCTTTGGGTTTCCAAGGCTATAAATCTTTAAGGAAGCAGACTGACTCATCTTTCTTCCTCAGAGAAGCTGATGGGTTCAAACCACCGACCTTTAGGCTAACAGGCCACTGCCTTACCCACTACGCCACCAGAGCTGCTTAACGCACTGGCAGGGCTTGTCAATTCTTATGTTTCCAGAGAAGGAGCAAGAAAGGCACTTTGAGAGAGCCAAGGGCATTTCCACTTCTCACTTTTATATTGAAAATAATTTAATGATTGGAAATAGACAGTGGGCCACGTTTGCGGCCTTTTCCCCCTTTCCTGCCTATCAGCTTTTGGAAGAGGTCCGGGTGGTGAGCCTGCAAACCCATCTCAAGCCCAGGGCCCCCTGCGCAGTGGCCTGGGCTTCCAGCTGCGCTGACAGATGCCTGCTCACGCCCACTTCCCAAGGAGCCCTCATACCTGGTGAGCTTCCACGCCCATCTCTCGCAGGGCCGACGTGAAGAACTCGGGAGAAGGCTTCCCCACTACTTCGGCCTCGATGCCACAGGCATACTAGGAACAGAGAAGGGCAGGCCTGGGTGTGGGGCCCAAGGAGCAGGCCCAGGCCCAGCTTGCAGTGCAGGCCTCCCTCTGGGTGGAGGAAGGAATTAAATCAAACTGGTGGCCGTCAAGCGGATGCTGACTCGTGGTGCCCCACGTGTTACAGGGGCGCACTGCTCCACTGGGTCTCACTGGCTGTCGCCTTTACCGAAGCCAGTCGTCAGGGTTCTCTTCCACAGCACTGAACTTGAGCTGTTACCACCACCCCAGGACCTAGATAAACGACTGTTGCAAACATGCGCTGAGGGATCAGGGGCTTTAAGGAGCCTGAGAAGCGTCTCCCGTGGGTAAGAGCATCACAGCCCTACATCAGACTGCCCAGACACTGGGGGTACCCACCATCCAGCACCCTGCCCTCTGCTGACCACCCAAGCACAGCTGCGGGCAAAGTCAAGGGGCCCTCACCCTGACCCCATGCTCTTGCTGCTGCCCTGCCCACCCTCCAGCTACGTCACCGGCCCTCCAGGAGGGCTCCTAGGCTCCCTCCCTTTCCCTAAGGGTAGGGGTCCGGAGCCATGCAGCAGCAGTGAGGATGGGCGTGGACAGGAGCGTAGCCTAGGGTAGGAGCCCCCAGCTGGGGCCAAGAGTGGGATGGGGCACAGCAGTGGAGGGCTTTGGGAAGTGGAAGAGGGAGCTGGGAAGGAGTTCAGAGAGGTCACATCAAGACTGAAGTGCTGCTAGGAGCAGGGTCAGGAACAGAGGGTAGTGGTCAAGGCAGGCTCCATGTCCTGAGCCAAGAGGAGAGTGAGGAGAGCAGGAAGTGGAGGGTGGGCACGGTGGGGCCAAGGTCAGGAGACGTGGGAGCACCCAGCTGAAGGCCCCGACAGGAGGGTTCCTACACAGCCCTAGCATCATTCCGGGCGTAGAGCCGCTCTCTCCTCCCGAGAGACTGGAGCACACACAGCACACGCGGCCCAGCCGGGGCGCACACGCTCAGCCCCCCGGGGCAGGTACCTCGAGTGCCTTCATGTAGGCGCCCACATCCAGCATCAGGCCAGAGGCCTCTTTGTAGTAGCGGCTAGAAAAGAGAAGGAAGGGACAGGTTGGTGTGAGCCTGGGGCCCGGGACGAGACACTGCCAGGTCTGGTTCAGGTGACTCAGAGAGCTGAGCCATCATGAGCGGTCAGTCCAGGTGCCGTGCTGACAAGGGCCCATGGAGGTCAGTGCACTGAGCACAGACCCCACTCCCGGGCGAGAGAGCAGGGGGCAGCAGTCAGAAGGGCCGCCCACTTCATCTCGTGGGGACCCCACCACAAGGGTTCACAGGGGCCCACAGGACAGATGGTTCCATCTGCTAATACAGAGAAAGACAAGTGTTTGGAAAGGCCCGCAGCCCCACAGAGCATGTGGCTAACCCCTAATTGCTAATAATTAACCCCTAATTGCTGCCTGGAGAAGAAAATGCCATTAGTTCCACAGCACCCTGCCACGGCAAGACGCTAGCGTCACAGGCACCAGGCGGGAAGACGACTCCTCCCGTCACCGGAGGCCAGGCAGGCTCCAGAGTGCAGCCAGCGCAGGAGTGCACCTCTCTCAGGACGGCCTCCCTGCTTCTGTGGCTGCTGCACGGACCCCGTGGCTGTCTGTGCCCAGAGCCAGCTGGCCAGCCCTGACTGCCGCTCCCTGCTCACCGTGATGGCATGGGTCAGGAAACCTGTGCGGCACAGCTCTGCTGACACACGAGGGAGGGGCGGCCGTGAGTGGGAAGCGACCCAACAGGAATTCGTTCCATTCTGTACAGAGCACTCATGTCAAGGTGGATGTAGTCTGACCCACTCTTTATTATTCATCAAGCAACACACTGTTTCCTCGCGACAGACATCTCCGTGGCATGGCTATCCACTGTGTGGACGTGCTGTTAACTTTGTGACCGTCCCCACTGATGGACCTGCAGGTGGCTTCTCATTTTCCACCCCAGCAAGACTGTAACGAAATCTCTGTGGATTTCAAGCGAGGTCCCGAGTGAATTCCAGACCAAGCATTTCTGAGGTCCTCAATATACACTGCCAAGTTGCCTTCAAGAAAACGGTACAGATTTATTCTCTCAGCACCAGGAGCATCATGAGCTTTTGAGAATCAGGGAGGCTTACAGCCACAAGGCCGAGTCCTTTCCCCACTCCTCCAGCGGGACGGGAATTCTGGGGCCACCTCGCAGGAAGCACTGACCAGCTTAGGAGGTTCTGTCTCCTGACCACAGCCAGCTGTGTGAACAGCCAAGGGCAGGGCTTTTGATCTGGCCACTGGCCATTCTAAGCACTTTATTTACTTTGTTTAGTTCTGCCCAGCACCCTGTGAGCTGCAAAACCAAACCAAACTCTGCCACCGAGCTGATTCCAACTCAAAGTGACCCCCTTTGGGTCTCCGAGGTGGTATTTCTTTATGGAAGTAGGTGCCCAGTCTTCCTTCCATGGAGTGGCTGGTAGGATTGAACGGCCAACTTTCTGGTTAGCAGTCAAATGCCTTAGGCACTACATCACCAGAGTTCCGCTGTGAGCTAAACAATGATCATAGTGGCACCATCATGGTGGCTTTCCAAGTGGCAGTGCAGAGGCTAAGGGGAGTGAAGGAAGCTCGCTGGCTGCTAAGTGGTGATTGGGCCAAGAGTGCAACCTGGCCCAGGCTGACCCTGTGCTCACCACCTCTAGGTTACACTCTAGAGCAGAGGGTTGGCCCACACTTGCTCTTAGGGCTTTTTTGCCTGTCTATATTTAAAAATTAGGAGAGTTTACATACAATACCCAGATTCCTGGATTCTTTGGAAAAATCACCAAATCTGACAGTACTGGGCCCCATGTGCCTGCACTCAGCTTCACTGGAACACTGCTGCCATTAGCTCTAGTTCACCACAGACCCCACCTCTCCCTACTGTCCCCTCATCTGAGCTTCAGAGTCAGGTGCCCTGTACCTCTCACTTTACTATACTTCTCACAGGAGAGAAAGATTTCACTGCGGCTATGTCCCTATCAAACATGGGCAAATAAAGACGTGTCAAGAAAGAAAAAAGAGGATACATTTGTTTTAGGAACAAAGAATATTCTTGTGTGTTTATCATACAAATACAAGGTGTCTCCGTGCCCGAGGGACCGGAAGCTGCCCGGCCCGGCCTGGCTCCCCTGATGACACTGTCGCCCTCCAGAGTCTGCGCTGACGTCTCTCCTGAAGCAGGTTACCTACTGTGGTGGTTACGTTTGTGTGTCAACATGGCTGGGCCTGGGTGAGTGGCTGGGCAGCTAGATGTAGGATTCCCCATGATGAGACTGGTAACCATGGTGGAATCTACTGTGAGCAGCTGAGTAGCTGCCTTAGGGATGTGGTTTGCTTCCTGTATATAAGGAGAAGCCTTGGGGAATGGTCTCTAGCTTATGGCATGCTTTGACCCTGCATGTAGCTGTGTCATTGTTCAGCAGCCTGCCATGCTCTGCCAACCTTGGGACTTACAACGGACTTG